AGAAGAATACAATTTGGGGAAAATGCAAACTATTGTTAAGTAAGGAAATATTTCAAATCATTTTTTCAAGAGGAGCACTGAAAAACTGAAAGGATAAATACTTCTACATAAAGCCTGGGTTCTGAAGGGAGGTGGCCCTGTTTGAATCTTTACTATCACTATGTGATCTTGAGCAAGCTACTTCTCTGTTTCAGGATGATAGGAGGATTGTGAGAATTACATGAGATAGTTATATAAATTCTTTAGAACAGTGGCTGATACATAATAAGCATTGATACAGTAAAAAATTTACTGGCAAACCATTATTTACAATACCCAAGAAATGGGAGCAACCTAAGTGTTCATCAATAGCTGTTTGGGTAAGGAAGAAGTGGTACATATACATAATAGAATATTACTCGGCCATAAAAAAGAATGAAATCTTAACATTTGTGACAACATGGATGGATGTAGATGCTATTATGCTAAGTGAAATAAGTCAGGCAGAGAAAGACAAATACCTTATTATTTCACTTATATGTGGAATCTAAAGAACAAAATAAATGAGCAAATGAAACAAACAGACTCACAGATATAGAGAACAAACTGCGGGTTGCCAGATAGTAGGGGGTTGAGAGGATAGGTGAAAAAGTTGAAGTGATTAAGAAGTACAAATCGGTAGTTGCAAAATAGTCCCATGAATGTAAAATATAGCACAGGGGATATAGTCAATAATATTGTAATAAATATGTATGGGTACTAAACTTATTGGGGGAAATCACTTGGTAAGTTATATAAATGTCTAACCACCATTATCTACACCTGAAACTCATATAAAATAATATTCAATTGTGGGGGGGTCTCCACCCACAGGGCCCCCGGCCACCATGGATGAGAATAAGTCTACCAAGATATGATCTGCTTGGGAAGGAAAGGTGGTTGATCTCTCAAAGGAGAAGGGCCAAGAGCCTTTTCCTTAATGGGCTTTTATTGGGCTCGTTTTGCTTGGGAATACAGGTAAAGCTCATTAATCATTATCAGGAAGTAAGGATCAAACAATAGATAACATACAAAGAACTCTGAGGACTTATTCTGAGTCAGGGTCTGTTAGCTAAAGGACTACAAAACTTTGGGGAACAAACTCACTTCCTGCTTGGACCCTGATCATTTAACTGAGAGCATTCTAAACTAAGCAGGTTTCACAGGATTTTATGCATTCTTTCTTAGGCCTTATTGCCCCACGGAACCCGCCCTTTCCAGCACAGGGCTGCACCCACCTCCAGCATTGTTTCAGGCTTAAGTCAGGCAGGAGAAGTAAGGCAGCCAAGAGATTAGGAGACTTCTTGCAGACAGAAAGAGGACTCAGGCTATGTCAAAGCTAAGGGGCGAGGGTCCATCACCCCCTTTTGCTATAGCCCCCCAAGTCCTTCCCTGGGGCCACTGTGATCATGCTTGTCTTAGGTCATTCTTCCCTTGAGGAATCTTACCCATCATTGGCTAACCAATCAAGCATTGGGGGCCAGTTATGAATGAAGTAAAAGGAGCAGAAGCAGTGCTCTTGTCAGGGAGATAAGCTTTGTTTCCTCAGTGCCTTATGGTCTGAAGGTTGCTCACTCAGCTTTAGCCATGGGGGGGTTACAGCTTCTTAACCAGGCAGGGTGGTTCCCAACATTGAATGACAACTGTATTTGACATACAAACAAACAAACAAAAAAATAAAGATGCAAAGAAGAGGGAAAAAAAAGTCTTACTGGCAAAGATGTAACAGTAACAGACTCTATGACTTCTCCTGTTTCTATTATTCTCTGACGCTATCCACCTTTCAACAAATGCTTAACATAGTTTAAAAAAATTGTTTTTATTGAGGTGTAATTGACATATAACATTATTAGTTTCAGGTGCACGACATAGTAATTCAATATTTGTATTTGTTGTAAAATGATCACCACAATAGGTCTAGTTAACATCTGTCACCAAACAGTTACAATTTTTCCCTTTGCAAACATTTAAGATTTTCTTTCAGCAATCTCAAATATGCAATACAGTGTTGTTACCTATAGCCATCATTCTATATATATGGCTTGACTTATTTTGCTGGAATGGAGGGAGATATAGAGAATTTAGAAAGCAGACAATATTGGGTTATTTCTTGGCAAAAGGAGTAACTTTATCCCTTAAACATTGGGTAACTATTAAAAGTTGGCTCATTAATGTTCCAATTTCCCATTCAAAGGAGCTCACATTAGGTTTGTTCCACTCATGTTACATTAAAAATAACAAGGACTACTATATTAAGTGTTGTCTATAAGAATCACATCACCAGAGTTAATCATCTACCCAGTGCTAAAGGTAGAATGGTTTCCATGATAAAATTGGCTGTGTGCAGATGGGATGCTGAGCCATCTAATTAGGGTTATTAGACTGCCTTTTCTTTCTTCAAAGCCTTTGATTCTTTCCTACTACTTACTGAATAATATGTGAAACATTTTTTCCCTCCCTTGCCTGAGGACATGCCTTTAGTGAGAAAAGAAGGGAGAGAAACATGATGTGATAGAGAAGCATTGATTGTTTGCCTCTTGCACCAGGGGTTGAAACACAACTTAGGTATGTGCTCTAACCATGAATCTGTAACTGGAAAAGACACCGGTGTTCGGGCTGCCTGTCACTACCAAATCCAATAAGCAATGACAGTGATTGAATCTTTTGTAGGCGCTTTATTCAGATGGCCAGTGATCCAAGAAGATGGCGGGTTCATAACCTAACCATCTTGCCCTTTCTTTTCTGGCCAGATCTTTTATAAGGGGGTTGGGAGAGGACAAACAAGGTGTCAGTGAAAGCCTTGAAATTCCAAGGGGGAGGGGGAGTCACTTGCTTCTTCCTGGTATGGATGTCTCCAGGCAGTAATTTCTAATCAGTGCCCCAGGAGGTCAGCTGCTTTTTCTCAGGCGCCAGGATGGGCCTTATCTGTAGTTTCTGAAACAAAAAACTTAACATAATCTTGCTAGATTTATGACTATTTACCTCAAGCTAAATTTTCCCAAGTCTTAAGCCCCTATCGAATCCAACCTACAATCCTTTGGTTACAGGATGATGCTTCAACCAATTGAGCCATACCGGTCAGGGCACACATGGAACTTTCTGTAACAGTTTCTAAATCCTCTCCAATCTGGCCCCAGCCTACTATGCTAGCATTCCATACCAGTGCCATTTAATATAAATATAATGCAAACTACATGTGTAATTTAAAGTTTTCTAGTAGCCACATTTAAAAAAGTAAAAAGAAATAGGTGAAATTAATTTAAATATATTTTATTCAACCCAATGTATCCAAAATACTATTTTGATATGTAATCAATATGGAACATTATTAATGAGATACTTTGCATTATTATTTTTTTCCTACAAAGTTTGTTGATCTGATGTGTATTTTACACTTCCAGCACATCTCAACTTGGACCATCACATTTCAAGCCATATATATTGTTAAAAATATTTCATATAACATATTGTTATATGTGGCTTGAAATATTGGACTGTGTTATTGGAGTGTGTGATTCAACACAATGTCAATCTTCTGTGCAACATTCAACACTTCAAGCAAAGCAGACTCTTCTCAGTTTCAAGACTGTCTTCTCATTCGTCATACCTTTCCTCTCTTCATTATTTATGCCATATTTCTTCAAACTATATCTCTGCCTCTTGAAATCCTATTCATTTTTTAAGGCCCAACTCACATGATACTTCTGCCACAAAACCTTCAATGTTTATGTTAAATAGGAAGGAAAGATTAATTCAAGAGGCCATAAACACATTCAGTTTATAGATTCAGTAATAGAGCCATACATTTATTAATCACATTGAAAAAAATAAACTTGAGCCCTGGCCAGTTATCCCATTTGGTTAGAGCACCATCCCCATACCACATACCAAGGTGGTGGGTTCTACCCTGGTCAGGGCCTGTATCGACGTTTCTCTCTCCCTTCTCTCTTTCTACAGAAATTTAAAAAGTAAAATAAAATAAAATTGGATCTTACAACATGTACAAATGTCAGTTCAAGTGAATTAAAGGCTTAAATGTGAAAAGCAAATGTTTAGAATTTACTTAGCTGAATTTTGTTATTTTATAGTAACATTTTTAGGAAATCAAAAGCTATAGGCGGACTGTGGGGGTCAGAACCCTTAACCCTGAGCTGTTGTTGAAGGGTCAACTGTAGTTGAAGTCTCTAAGGGAATTTTTTGCCTGCAGAAAATCAAAGGAGAGTAAGGGATGGGACGTGGCATCTGTCTTCAAATAACTGAATAGTATTTATAGTGGAAAGAATGAAGCCTTACTCTTTTCCGAAGTGCAGAACTGAAACAAACTGAAATTGCAGAAGAACATACTTCCGTTCAGAAAATCCTCTAACATTTATAATCATTCTAAAATAAATTGAGGTATTTGGGGGAGGTAATGGCCTTCCTTTGGCAGCCGCAGAGGTTGAAGACGACCCATTCAGAGGTTTGTTGAAGCTATTTTTACATTGGGAGAGAGAGCTATGACCTGGTTGTGTGATCAAAATAAGTTCCATTTCATTGTTCTTTGCACCTGTCCTTTTGCATTTACCACATATCTGGAAGTGATTCGAGTCTGTGTGTCTTATCTCCCCCAATTAGCTACAACACTAGCGGGCCATTTCCTTTCTCCAGCCTCCTCTGGGATTAAGAATGAAGAACACTGAGGAACACAGAGTAGCGTTTTTCTGATGAGCTGAGGCCTGCTTCCGAGGATGCTCTTACGTTTCTCCCTTTTCGGTTTTTTGGTCTCCTGGGACACAGCTACAGATAAAGCGAGACCTCGCGATTTCCTGAAATGTTCGCTTCTGGGACCTCGCAGCTCTTAATCACCCCAGGCTTCGCACTCCGTCCGCCTGACTGCGAGCTCTCTACTCTATGGTAGGGCGAGGTCATCCTCTCTAGCCCGCGAGTTCATCATCTATGGTTGCTGGAGGCCTCCCCGGAAGTTCCCCTATGAGACAGATTCTGGCGGCCGGAAATTGCGCTCTCAGTGCTCGCTGTTTCGAATTGCTGCTGATCCTTCTGAACCTTTGACGTCTTCCCCACGGGCTCGGCGTGAGAGCGGCCGTGGAGTGCTAAGGTGTGGTTCTTGGGTCAGGAAGAGGGAAGGGGGGGCGCGGCGTGGCAGCGTGGCTGTGTGGCTGGTTCCGTGAGTCCCAGAGCTGCGGGAGCGGGCAGGAGGAGCCTGCGGCGTGGGTGGCGGCCTTGGGACAGTCGCTCATGGCGGAGAAAGGGCTGGTGGGGAAACGGTTGGGAGGTCGGGACTCACGGAAGATGAAAATGGAGGTGCAGTGAAGTGGTGCCTTTCCGCCAAGAGGTTACCAGCCTAACGAAATAGCCGGGTTGACGATGTTTAACTGGACGCAGAATTTGAGGAATACTGAGACACTTTGGAGAAAGAGGTATGAGAGAGGAAGGCAGAGAGAATGACAAGGAAGTGTCTCGAAAGTTTAAGGTAGCAATTTTCAGAAGGGCTGCGGGTTATGTGTCTCAGAGGCACGTGGTGCTTGTTTCCAAAATGCTCATTTTGGGGCCACATCCAGACCTCCCCAAGCAATATCAGGAGATGGGGACTTGGGAATATGTATTTCAATCCGCAGAGCCCCCCCCCCCCCACGCCGTTGATTCTGGTCAGCCTAAAGTTTGAAAGTCACTGTTTTAAAGCGACACCCGAAGAAAAAGCTGTTGTTTCCCCTCATCTGTACTGTACTGGGCAGATCACAACTTTTTATAGTCTTAAAACTGCAAATAGCGTGTGCCTTTTAAAAAAATGCACACAATATAGAAGTGTGTGACATTAATCCACCGTCCCTAACCGTTTTCCTTCTCAAGCTAGCTACTGTTAACTAACTGCCTGGTGTTACATCCCTCCAGACTTTTGTACACACACATTTTAAACAACAGTGGGATCATTTTGTATGTATGATTCTGCACCCTAAGTTTTTCAGATAATATCAGGGACATAAAATATGCCCTTTACATAAAATATACTTGATATACTGTCTTTTGTGTTGTACAACAGTTTCTTTAAACAGTTCCCCATTGATGGGTTTTTAGATTGTTTCTTGGCGTGTTGTTGGTTTTGCAAATGGCTAGACTATATACTCTCTCATACACTTCATCTTTGTACATGTGTAGGCATATTTAGCAAGAACTAAAAAGTTGGGGCCCTGGCTGGCGTAGCTCAGTGGATTGAGCGCCGGCTGCGAACCAAAATGTCGCAGGTTCGATTCCCAGTCAGGGCACATGCCTGGGTTGCAGGCCATGACCCCCAGCAACCGCACATTGATGTTTCTCTCTATCTCCCTCCCTTCCCTCTCTAAAAATAAATAAATAAAATCTTTTTAAAAAGTCGGAATAGTGGCTTTTTTAACAAGAAAAAGTTGTTTCTATTAACTTTTTAAAAAAAAATTCAACCAAGTAAATTTGAAGATCTAATTGGCTTTAAGTGATTCATGAATTGGGTCGCATCCTATCTGGCTACTAGAAGGGAGCTCCGTAGCGTTGTGCTAAATGGAAGACTTGTAGGAAGAAGGGTGGAGCAAGGGAAAGGAAGGATTAGTTTGTAAATTTATTTTCTTTTACAGTTGGCATACAGGAAGGATTCGTTTTGAGCCAGGACACCATTTCTTTTGGGGAAGAAAATGGAAGGGTTTTTATCATGCAGATTGCCTCTTTCTGTGGGGGAATGGAGAGGGTCCACATTGACTAGTATTTGACTAGAAAATTTGAAGTTGATTAAGATTACATTTCTGGGAGAAGTTGAAACTGCATTTTGATCTGCTATTAAATCTATTGACAGGTTTGGTATCACGGACTTTTAGCACAGACCCATTTTGGGCCCGTGATTTATGTATTTATTTTAATACTCATACATTTGAGTGAAAGAATCCAGACAACAGTGTTTAATATAGAGGTCCTGAGGGTTTAAAGAATTGGCAAGAATGCTTAGTTCTGCTAACTTCTCACAAGACGTTTTTATTTTAATTGTTCTTAAAGTCACAGTTGTCTTCAGAGGTAGAGATTTGAAGATGAGGTGTAGGAGTTTCTTGAACTAAGTATAACAAAAAAATGACTTTCATCATTCTGATGAATAGGACTGTTCTTGCTCTCCATGATTTCAGGGTAGTAGGAGACACACGTAAAAGCATAAATGTAATGTGGCCTCTTAGTAGATTTGCTGTGGTGTCATCAGCCTCCCTTGGGGAGTCAGGAAAGCCTTCACCAAGGAAGTGACTTTTGACCTGGATATGATAATTTTTGAGAACAGAAAATAGGCATAAAAGAGGAGAGAAAAGACTGGTGCTAAGGCAGTGGCTTTCAAACATTTTCAACCATGACTGCCACTTGAAAATACTTTTTATATTATGACTCAGTACACATTGGAAGGCTGATGGCTAAGAGCTCAGGCTCTACTGACCATGATTTTGGGCAAGTTATTTTCCTCTTCTGTTTCAGTTCCTTTTCTGAAAATGAAGAAATAATATATCTACCTCTTAGGATCTCTTAAGGGTTATTATATATAAAGTGTATATGTAAAATGTGCCTGACACAAAGGTGCTTAATTGTTAAGTGTCTACTGTTTTCAATAACAGAAACATGTTCCACAGAGCAAACTTACAATTGTTACTCACTTTTTTTTAAAGACTTTATTTATTTTCAGAGAGAGGGGAAAGGAGGGAGAGAGGGAGAGAAACATTAATCGGTTGCCTCTCACATGCCCCCTACTGGGGACATGGCCCACAACCCAGGCATGTGCCCTGGCTGGGAATCGAACTGGTGACTCTTAAGTTTGCAGGACTTGCAGGCCAACACTCAACCCACTGAGCCACACCTGTTAGGGCTCGCTTAAGATTTCTTTAATGGAGGGAAGGAGTTAAGACCAGTGGGGTGGGTACAATTTGTCGTTTGAAAACAGTATAAAAACACTGAAAGGTGAGTGGGATAAGGGTTAGAAAACTTAACGAAATTGAGTTCATTGTTTATTATGGTGTGTGTTGAGTGGTTAAGTGGAGACTTGGAGCAGAGTACCAGATGAAATGAAGAGTAAGTTGGAGACATAGTAAAAGCTTATGTACACATCCCTGGTGAGGTGGCTGAGTTTTGGGAAATGGGAGTGCCTGGTGCCTTAGTTTTACTTTTAGGATAGTCCTATACTCTTCAACTGCCTTGAAAAACCAAGGTATTTTGGCCTGCCGTTGGTTATTTTGGGTTCAGCTATATTGTGGAATGATCAGGGAGAATCCTTTTGAAAGCAGGCAGACAAAACTACACCCCTGGCCTGGTAGCTCAGTTGGTTGGAGCCTTGTCCCAGTAAGCCAAGGATGTGGTCAGGGCACATACAAGAAGCAACCAATGACTTTATAAGTAAGTGGAACAACAAATCTATGTTTCTCTCTCTCAAAAAATAATTTTAAAAAACTGCAAAAAGAACTTTCTTTCCTCATTTCATTTAAAAGCAGGCATATTCTTTTCAGCCATCTGTATTCACTCCTGGCTTTATTATTAACTGGAGAGAATCACATCTCCACAGAGCCAAAGTAGGTACAGGTTAGTGGTACTGATTATTTTAGTGTAACTGGAATATTTTCCAAGAGTACTAGTTTTTCCAGATAAACACATAGAATTTTTACTATTGTTTTCCCAACATTGGTGTATACCATTCAATAAGGTAATTTATTTAAAACAATAACCCTTTGTTCAGCAAATCATAGATGTCTTATTTTACCTTTAAACACTATAGGGATGTTATCTCTTAATCAGATCAAGATTTTAAAAAAAAAAATTACCACAGTGCCTTTCTACTACATTCAACAGTTTCTTAATAGTATCTCATACCTAGTAAATAATTTAAAATTTACTGATTTTTAGGGGAAAAAAGACATTTTACAGATGACACATTGTATTAGGCTTATGTTTTTGTAATGTCCCCACGTCAACCATACCCTCCACCCCAGGTCCTGTAGAATTTCTTACATTTTCAATTTGGCAGATTGCTTGCTTTTAGTATTTACTCATTCCTCTACCTTCCATTTTTCCTTCCAACAGGTAGTTAGCAGTGAGAACTAGTGTTGGGAACCGCCCTGCCTGGTTTCAGAAGCTGTAAACCCCCCCCCCGCCCCCCCCCCCTCCGCACTTGGCTAAGGCTGAGTGAGAGACCTTCAGACCATAAGCCACTGAGGAGACAAAGCTTATACCCCTGGCAGGGGCACTGCCTCTGCCCACTTTACTTCACCCTGCCTGGCCCTCAGTTCATGACCAGTTAGCTAGTGATGGGTAAGATTCCTCAAGGGAGGGACAACCTAAGACAGGCAGGATCACGGGGGGTCCCCAGAGAAGGACTTGGGGGGCTGTAGAAAAAGGGGGTGATGGACCCTCGCCCCTTAGCTTTGACATAGCCTGAGTCCTCTTTCCGTCTGCAAGAAGTCTCCTAATCTCTTGGCTGCCTTACTTCCCCTGCCTGACTTAAGCCTGAAACAATGCTGGAGGTGGGTGCGGCCCTGTGCTGGAAAGGGCGGGTTCCCTGGGGCAATAAGGCCTAAGAAAGAATACATAAAATCCTGTGAAACCTGCTTTGTGAATACCCTCAATTTAAATGATAAGGGTCCAAGCATGAAACGAGTTTGTTTCCCCAAAGTTTTATGGCCCTTTAGCTATTTGACCCTGACTCAGAATAGGCCCTCTGAGTTCTTTGAATGTTATTTATTTGATCATTATTTCCTGACAATGATTGATGAGCTTTCCATATGTGCCCTGTATTCCTATGTAGATTAAAGCCAATAAAAGCCTGTCAAGGCAAGGGCCGGGGCACTCTACCCTTGAGAGTATGGCCGTGCGATCCCTTTTCCTCCCCAGGACTCAGAAGTCTGTGTGAATTCATCTCATTTTAGCCATGACACCGTGACATTGTTGGCTGGAGTCCTTGTCAGTCTAGAAGCTTGATTAAATTTGGATTGGGGGGCAAGAATACTTCATAGGTAGGGGGTGCTTCCTACTTCTTCATATTAGGGAGTACATAATGTGTGAATGACCTTTTATTTTATTTTTATGTATGTGGTTTTTTAAAAAACCTTTACCGGA